CTACAGTAATAACAGTTTCTTGTAATAATTGTTGAAAAATAGATATACTAGTTTCTTTTTTAGAACTTTGTGCTGATTTTAATATAGCAGTTTGTAAAGCTTTAATATGTTGTTAGGCTCTAACTAGATCATTAATAAAAATATCAAATGAAGTTCTTTGGTCAGAGGTAATTGATAGTACTAATAATGAGAAGTATATTCTTAAAAGATACTTTGTACAATATCTCAAGGGTTAGTTATCAGGTTCTAATAATGACAACTAAAAATAATGTTTCTAGCTGCAACTCAAAAAGCTAAGCATCTAGCAATAGCTAATTTTAAAAAGTTAGAATGAGTAATTTTATTAAAATAAATAGCTTAATAGTCTTCAAAATACCAAGTCTAAAATTTAGCAAGGCATCTACAAAGGTTAGAAGGTAGATAATACTGTAGACAAGACAAATTAATTGCAAGGGTTTGCAATATAGTAGTAGCAAAAGAGGAGTTTTTACTATAAATCTGTTAGTGTTTTTGAATATTTTCTAAATGAAAACAAGTAAGAAAATCTTCTATAAAATAAATTTCTTTAAGAAGAGTTAGTACTAATGAGTAATAAAATGATAAAATAAAATAATAAAAATCAAAAGAATAAATCTAAAATAATAGTACTAGCAAGTAAAAAATTCAAGTAATCAATCAAAAGTTTAAACAATTCAAAATATATTTATCAACTAGTAAGTAATGTTAAATCAAAAATCAAATTCAAAATCAAAATCAAAATTATTTCAAAAATTAAAAATTCAAAGATAGAAGATAAAAGCATAAACTTCTTTAATTCCAAAATACAAAATACAAATGCAATATACAAAATAATTTAATTCAATTTGAGTTAGTAAAGGTATATCTAAAATAATAATTTTAAAATTTTAAAATACTTTTTCACAATTGCTGCTTTTAAAATAAAATCATTTCTAAAGAAAGAATTGCTTTCTAAAGCAATTTTTTTAAGAGAGATTTCTGTTCCTTTTCTGGAATACTATTAGCTTTTCTAAGATAATTTTTAGCTTTTCACCAAAAGGCACCAAAATGTTACAGGGTTGTAGCCTTTTTGATACAATACAACTAAGTAATAAGGTTACCCAGTACAGTGATTGACTATTGCAAATATATATAGAATAGAGGTGTAGTAGTTTACTTTACTATATAACAGCAGGCAAATGGTTTGAGATAGTAATAGTATATAGATTAACTTTATTAACTAAACATATAGTAACAACTTGCTTATAGAAATTATCCTAAAGAGAGAATATCATTTTTACAATTTAGAAGTAAAGGTAGAAAGGTTTAGATCAAAATATAAGAACTTAGGCAGAGAAGAGTAAAAGGTACTTTTTATATATCTTTTTATCTAGCAGGAATAGTGAAGATTCGAGCAACATTACTTGAACTGTACTTAGAATAATAAGAGTTTGAACAACATTAGATATCATTGTATTTGGAACAACAAAAGTTCAAACAACATTAAATGATATTATGCTTAAGATAATGAGAACTGTGCAGAGGCAACTAGAGATATTGTTTATATCATTTGTTATTTGTGCTTGAAACACTTAAGACTTGTGTTTAGGCACTTGGATCTATACAAAAGCATATGGAATTTGTGCAAGAATACTTGAAGTTTATGTAAAAACATTTGGAATTTATGTTGGGAATACTTGGGATTTTTATACTGCAGCACTTGGTATAGTAATTTGGTGTTAGAATATATGAAACTTGTATAGAAGTACTTGGGGTTTGTAAAATAATAGTAATATCACAGATGTTACTTAGTGTTATGTAGCTGTTTCACATTATTAATAACCAATTAAGATTCTTTTTATCTATTTACTATATAATATAACTATCAACTAACTAATGACTAATAACTAATAATAAATATAATATAATATATAAAATACAATAATAAATATATATATAACTGAGGATGGCAATCCTAGTGTAGTGGTTGGGTTGTCATCCTCCAAGTGGCAGGTCTAAGGTTCAAATTCCACCTACAATGAAATTTGAAAATTAACCTGTATTATAACAAACTGTCTCTTGACAATCAGTTGAATTTGTGTATCTGTAACCTTAAGTTGCACCATCTCAAATGGGAGCTTAGGGCATCTATGCCAAGTATAACATTACACATATATAAAGGAATATTAATAACCAGTGTCATATAAGACTTTAGTGCAAACCCACAATAAGACCACCAAGCACAGTAAACTAAAGAACTGAAGAGACAGAAGCTTACTTGGAAATTTTCAAATAAAGAGATAGCATGAACTTTCAACAGTATGGTCAGATCAATGGAAGTCTATAAAACACCCCAAAGGAATAGATGAATAAACCAGATATCAAGATATATAGAGGAGCACATGACCAACCAGGCTGCTAGAATTACTAGAGGAAAAAGATATATAAGTATACCATACTAGGCTATTTGGATTAAAAGTCAGGGGAGTTCTGTCAGTCCTAAGTAGCAGTTAGTAAGGGATGATGGAGAAGATATCACAATGATAGGTACTGGGATTCTAGTGAACTTTACAAGGGTAAAAATAGTGTAACATAGTGGTTAAACAGATAACCTCTGTGACTGCAAGTGTTAGATAACTATAGCATGTTGCATAAAACTAAATTAGCTATATATAGGATACTGAAGGTTCTAATAAGTTTCCTGTCAAGGATAAACTAGTTCTAAAGGTACTTGAAGGCATCAGATACTTTGGATGAGTGTAGTCTTGAAGATGTCTTCATAAGACATAATGGACTACATATATAGAGAGTTTAAATAGGCAAGACCTGTAGTTGGCTTGCAGATATGGCACCTAGTATAGAACCTATATAGTAATATATAAGCAAACTACTTAAATTAGATACCAAAAGTGCACATGTAGCTAGTTGTAATCTTCAATATAAGGAAGCTTCTGGAGGCACCTGTGTCCAAATACATAAATAAAAACATCAATTTCCATAAACAGAGACTTTAACTTAAAAAATATATATATATATATATAACTACTAGTACTATTTTATAATATACTATGCAAAATCTACTTTGTAACAATATAAGTCTACAAAATATATTTCACTTGACAAAATATATAAAACAAAATTACTATATAAAATAAGTTTATAAAAAAATATCAAGTTTGAGAATACATGTTTTTCATAAAATATAAATATATAGAGTTCCAATCTGAATCAATTTGTAATCTGTTTATCTAATATGCTATATTAGAATATCTGTTTTATTAATTCAGATATTTGAATGGATTAACTAAATTATTTACCCAGAATCATATGATTTTGGTACCATTCAACTCATCTCAATAAGATAAATTAAATAGTATCAAAATCATATAATTCTGATCGATTCTTGAAAATTTTTGTTTATCTAAATTTGAAACTTAATTTGTTATATATAATACCTAGTAATATTACTTGATTATATTAAATTTTGTCTTTCTATTCATGAATATTTATTATTGCACATTGTTATTTGTAATAAGCAGTATAAGTATTTAGTAGTTTTAGACAAATTAGCATTTGTATTAAGCAAGTGTTAATTTTAAATACACTATCATCTTTGGCAGCAATTTTAATTCAACATTTAATTTAACATTTAACAATTTATCAGATAATTTGACTTTCAGTAAAATACTATTATTAGAATACAGAACAAATAGTATAGAAACTTCTCTTTTACTTTAACAAATCTCTCTACAAACCTTAATATCTTTGTATTTTCAATATGCTATTTTTAATACTGATGTAAATCACATATGCATAATAACAGTAATATAATCTGTTCAATCTGAAATGATGAAAATATTTTCACAAACAACATATTTTGTATTAAGTTACTTTTTTTTCTTTGAGTTTTGTTTCTAATTTTACAAATTCTAAATTATAATTTACTTAATAATGTACAAGAAAAGCAGATCAATTAACTATTAATCTGTTACCAGATAGTAGATATATACTTTTTGCTTATATATTTAATGTGACCAGTATATTATTTTATGATTATCTTTTTAATGAAACCTTTCAGAATTCAAATTCATAAGAGCTGTTGATATTTATTTAATTAAATATTATTAGTATATATGTTGTGCCTTAGACTAATGCTTGTCTCAGATTGAATCTGACACATCTTAGATACAAATTATCAGATAAGGTGCATGACTTACTAATCAGTTACCTAAGGTGCCTTAGTAGTAATCTGATGCAAGGCTTTAATTTAACTAATAAACAATATATAGATTATATAAATAGTAATTTAAATAAAGCAATTAAATATTATTTAAGATTTATTAATAATTAAAAAGTAAAGCTTCTACTATAATTATTACTAATCTTTATTTAAACAAGAGCAACTATTATGACATCTGCTTGAACATTTTCTATTCACCTTTTTACAATTATATTTTTTACTATTACATGATCTTTTGCAGTTGCAAAAAGAGCTTAATACTAATCCAATACTTTGAAGCTTTGCTGCTTCTCAAAGAGATATTTGTTCTAATAGTATCTTGTCAAGTTTAGAGCAAATGGCAACTCCAAGTGTTTTAAGTTTATCAACAGAATAATATGCATTAATTATATCATACTTGTATCCTAAATAATATTGTTAATTGTTAGTTTTCTCAATAACCTTACAAGAAAGGCTAGAATAATCAGTTGAAAATCGATCAATCTTAGGAATATTTATTCGAACAAAATTATCAACTTTAAAATCAATTAATTTTCTCTTTTTTGCTATTTGTTTAGTCATCCTATCTGTATATAACTGAAGTTCATATCTGGCTAAATCTTGCAAGATTTGATGTCATGCATTATAGTCCTAGTTTGTAATATCATTAAGAGCTGAATTCAAATACTGTTTTAAGTTTATTAGATAAGTAAAAAAAAAATAAATCATTTTAAGCAATCAAATATTATTATATAAAGTAATTTATATAATTATTATATTGAAGTATTTGTTGTTTATGCAATGATGCTTGAAATGATAGTGCTTAAGGTAATGGTGCTTGAGGTAATGGTGCTTGAGACAATAGTGCTTGAGATGATGGTACTTGAAATAATAATGCTTGAGGTGATAATGCTTAAAATAATGATACTTGAGATAATAATACTTAAAATAATGATACTTAAGGTGATAATGCTTAAGACAATAATGCTTAAGACAATAATGCTTAAGACAATAATACTTGAGGTGATAATGTTTGAAATAATATTGTTTAAGATGATATTACTTAAGATGATAGTGCTTGAGGTAATAGTTCTTGAACCAATTACTTCTGAGGTAATAATTTTGGAGATGACAATTTTTTATATAATAATTTTGAGTATTCTTATTCTAAAACTTGTTCTAATGTATAATAAATATATAAAATAATACTGTAAATAAAAATAAAAAAAAATAAAAATTTATTATCTATTATATCATCATTCAGATTTATTATATTGTTTGTTTAAATTTCAATTGTATTAGGAATTTCTTCTTCATTATAAATATTATTTGCATATAATTTATTAATTAAAGTGCAGTTGCCACAAGGCTTATCTTTATAAACAAGTTTATAAGGTGTCTTTTTATATGCATGACATTTTAAATTGTTCATAGCCATAATGATAAACCTTAAATATAAGATGTTAAATTATATAAATTCAAAACTATTATATAAGAAATTTATATAATAAAATATAAAATATAATTTCAAAATATATTTATAACCTTAAACCAAAAGACCAGTTACTTCGATCAGTTGTTTCTTTTTATTTACTCAACTTTTGTTCTAAAATTTTATTTGCACATTCAACCAATTCTTGAAATTCAGAATGACAAAGCTTTTCATTAATAACTTTTACTGATAGCCATAATGCAATAAGCTCTTTAATGACTTGTGATACAAACTTTTTTCTATTATCAGATTGTAATATAGTTGATAATGATCCAATTATATATAAAAAATCAAACAAAAAGAATATAACTTCAATCAGTCTCTTTAAAGTAAATGCCCTAGCCCAGAAAAATTTTGTAAAATGATTCTTTATGTGGCACACATATTTAAATTCCTAATTTGGATCAAAGCTGAAGTCGATTAAGTCCATTTGTAATAAAAAAAAAATAAATTTAATATTAAATTTAATAATAATAAATAATACTTTTAAGATTTATCTAAACTCTAAATAAAAAGTTTTTTGCAATTATTAGTTTTGCTACTAGAGGATGGAATGATGATTTTCTGATAGCACATATTATGCAATTGTTAACAAATTGTTCAACAAGATCTTGCTTTATCCAACTCCAATTATCTTAAACATTATTCTAGGTTTGTCTTTGCCTACCATGCTATAAGATTTCTCTATGAATGTGACTTAAAACCTTATAAAACTTTTTAACAATTAGGACCAGTTTGTTAAAAGCCTTTACTAGAATCTTATAATTATCTGGAGTAATCTCTTCAAGCCAGACCCTTTTTTTAGCCCAATTACAGATGCCTTTATCATATAAAGAATTATTTTTAGGATTTATTAGAATGGTTTTTATTTTATCTAAAAGTTCAATATTTATTAAAACTTTCTTTTGTTTAGATTTAGAAAGATTCACTATATAGTTCTCAATTATATATTCAAGAACACTCTTGTTAACAAAAGTAGTTTTCATATTTTGTAAAAAATAATAATAATAATAATAATAATAATAATAATAATAAATCTATAGTATTATATTATTAAAGAAAGAAGCTGGCATTACAGATAGAAGGTGTCAAAAAATTCAAACTCAATGCTAATAAAAAAAGTGCCAAAAAATTCAATACACAATATAGTACAGTAAGTAGAAAGTAACGAAAAGATTTAAAGAGAAAAAATTAAGTCCAACTTTAAGAAAGGCTTTTATTGCTTTTATTTTTACACTGACTCATATTATTTTACTTTCGTTTAAACTTGCTTATCATTATCATTATTCTTAAATAAATGATTAATAAGGACAGATATCTGCATTAGATCACTACTGAGGCATCTCAAGTAGCTGATTAGTAAGTCATGCACCTCACCTGACGATTTGCATCTGAGGTGTGTCAGATTTGATCTGAAACAAGCATTAGTTTAAAACACAATATATATACTATATTATTAAACAATTCTTTAAGATCCTAATATTGAATGAAAGTGTTAATACTTGAAGACTATTTACTATAGATTTTTCAAATTTGTTGAATTCTCTATATAACAAATCTTTTGTTTTTTTTTTAATAATTTATAATAATTTTATCAAAATCTTTAATTTCAAGTTTTAAAATTTTTAGATGCATATTTTAACTTAGCAATTAAATCTACTTATTCTTTAACTAATTATAGTATATTAGATATAATTTTATTATTATACATTAGTGTAACTTTTCTCAGTTCTGTGAAACTTTTTTATAGCAACATATCAATATATTAATTTGATTCTGCTACTAGAAAACAAACACTTCATCAACAATTCTAGCAATTTTATATATTCTTATTAATAATGTTACAACTGTGAAAGTAGATATTTTATCTTGCACCTTTAGTATGCTTAGTGCTTTATGTTTGATAATAATTTTATAAAAAATGATGCCTATAAAGAGCCTCTAAGAGAATTATATGATCATATATAAACATTTAACACTAATAATTCAAAATTATTTTGAAGTTAGTAAAGTTAAAAATATTAATAATTTCTTTTTATTATTAAAATATTATATAGTGCCAAAAGACGATATATTTTTAGGTAAAATTTATTAAAAATAATAATATTCTATAATTAATAATATATATAATCACTTTAATAATTTTTTTTTTTAACTATCCTAGATAAATCACTATAAGGTGCATATAATACTCTTTATTATTAAATATAACTATAGTATTACTATTTACATATTAGGGAGTCTAAGCTAAATATTTATAATATTTTTATAGATTGATTTGGCTAAAGTTTTAGTTTGAAGCAAACCAATTTCTTTAGAAATTCTGTTTCTTGCTATAGTAGCAATTGCTATTTCTGGATATTGTATTTTATTTTATTTATATACTACATAGCAGTACCAGATTTTATATATAGCCTGTATGTATAATTACAGAATTGTGTTATACACTTTGGTTTTTCTTAAAGTTTCTTTTAGAAAAACTTAATCTATCAAGTTTGAAATGACTTCTGTTTAGTCTATTTTTAGAAATTTGTAGACTTCTGTTCTGATTAACTTGCTAATTCTGCATTCTACTGCTAAGTATTCAATAGTTTATATATAATTTGAACACCATGGACATTTACCTAAATCTGTTGAAACAAAGTGATGAAGCCTGTATCCTAATAATAAGGCTCTGTGAAAAAGCTGCCAGAGTATATTCTTCTTTTTATTTAGAATTGCTTTTTGGAGAATCCAGTTATATTCTTGAAACTGTGTTGTAGTATTAAGTTGCTCTGCTGGTTTAGTTTCAAGTCTTCTTAGAAGCTTAACTATAAGTTTAACTGTTATTTCTAATATTTTCTTTTCATTAATTTTTAGGTCTACTGAATTTCAGAATCAGCCTAAATCAGAAAGAATTTTTCCTTTAACTTTTTTCCATGCTAGTAAATAGATTTTTCATTCTGTAGACTAGGCTTTGAACCTGATTAGTTATATAGTAAGGGTCTCTTTTATTGTGATGTTTCTTTTCTAACTAAACAAGATGGATATTCATTTTCTTTCTGCTTTAGCCCATAGTAAATTACTTAAAATTAGTTTAGTTCAAACTGAAATTAATTTGGCTTCTAGCATATTGCTAATTATTAGTACTTGTAGGTCTCCTGTTTTATAGAACTGTTAAAAAGTAGAATACTTGATAATATTTTTGAGTTGCTTTTGATCCAAATAGTAATAAGTCTGTTAATTTTTGCTATTTGTTTTTTGTTTGGAAGTGTTAAATAAGTGATATATCAGATCTTAAAAAGTAGCAAAAAGTTTGCTAACATTATTTTTTCCTTTAGTAATAAATTTCTGCTAGCCAGTTTATCTAAACTTATTTTAAGTTTGCACATTACTTCTTGTTACAAGTTTTTTTTCAGTATGCCTTTTGATGTAATGCTATAATCTAGTACTTTAATGTACACACTTTTCTAGTTTTTGAAATTGGGTTTCTTCTAAAAGTTTTATACTTTTTGCAAAATTGGTAAGTAGCATTAGGTTTGTTTTGAGCTTATTAATTTTTGCATTAGAGACTTTTTCATATTTATTAAATAAATTCAGAATTGTTGTTCAGTTTGAAAGTGAGCTAATGCCAACTGTTAAGTCATCTGCATATGCTGCACATTTAAAAAACTAGTTGTCAATTTTGATTCTTGTTATTTTGTTGTCTATCTAATTTAGCAATAGCTTAAATGCAAGCATATATAGTAGAAGTGAGAAAAGATCTTCTTGTCTAACTTCTCTTTTTACTCTAAAGGTACTTAAAATGTTTTCTGAGTTTAGAATGTGAGCTTCTTGTTGAGTAAATAGGTTCTTTATTAGGGTTTTGAACTTTTCATTAAAATTCATATTTTTTAGTACTATTTGCAAGAATTCATGGCTTATTCTATCAAAGGCTTTTTGTTGGTCTACAAAAAGCATCCAGTATTCTTTAAGTTCATTATTTTGGTTTCTTAAGATTATTAGGATATCCATTGCTGAGTCAGTTATTAATCTTTTTGCAATAAAACCTTGTTGATGCTAAGGCATTATTATTTCACAGATTCTGTTTAGCCTAATTGCCATGATTTTCATGAAAATTTTTGTATTACAGTTTACTAAAGATATTGGTTTCCAATTATTTATATTATATAACTTTTCTGATTTTTTTAATACTAGTATAATTAAGTTTTTGCATTATGATAAAGGTATTGTTCTGTGTTTAAAATTTGATTAAAAATTAGTTCTAATACTAGTGTAATCTGTTTTTCTGTAAGTTTATAAAACTTGTAAGTAAGTTCATTTAGGCTTGAAAATTTATTATTCAATAGTAATCTGATAACTGATAAAATTTTTTTTTGAAAAATATAGTCAGTTAGCTTGCTATTCATATAGTCTAAAACTTGTGAAAGCTCTTTAGTAATTTGTTCTGCTATTTTGTTGTTGATATTTTCTTTATTATAAATTATAGTATATTGTTTCTTAATATAGCTAAGAATTTCTTTATTATTGTGTTGTCTTTGAGTTAAAGTATCTGTATTTCTGTTGTTGCTAAGTGTAAGTTTCTACTTTTGAAGCATAAATAGAAGTATTTGATAGATTTTTCTTCTAATTTTATCTAGTTTGCCTTTGATTGACATTGCTATCTGTTTGCTAATTCTTCTAGTTCTGTTTGAATTTGTAAGTTTAGTATATCTAATGATATATAAAGATGTGTTTAATTAGAGGTTTTTGTTAATATTTCTTTTATTTAACAAATTTTCTTATTTAGTCTTTCAATATTGTCTTCTGTGCTTTGGGTTTTTTGAAAGCTTTAATAATTGATTTAATATAGATCTTGTGTATATTCCAGTCTATTGCAAAGGTTGTGTTCTTGATTTCTTTTAGTACTTTTTTCTTTAACAGGCTGTTTTTAAAGGAGTTTGGATTAAATCTTCAGATAGTAAAATGTTTGAAATCCTGTTTTAGGCTTAAAGTGTATTCGACTAAAAGGTGGTCTGAGTTTTCAAATCTTGTTTTTGTTTCTAATTTAAAATAACTATAATTTTCATCTATGAAAATATAATCTAACTGAGTAGTAATAATTTGATTGTTGTGTGTTTTCTGATAGAATGTAAAAAAGAGTTTTTGTAAAGAAAAAGAAGCTAAGTTTTATAGTCTTTTGTTATTTCTTTTAACAGATATCTTGAAAGATCATTTTGAGAGGTTGCTTAACTCTTTTTATTTATTTTTGGATCTAAGTTTGTGTTTAGATCTTCTGCTATAATGATGATCATGTTTTGTTTTTTGTCTATATTCATTTGTCAAAAAATGCAGCTCTGTTTGAAGCATTTAGTGATGCATAAGTATTAATTATATGAAAGAAAAGTTTTTTAAAAATAAAGCAGATGAAAATAATTTTGTTTTTGTAAAGCTTTTTGGTATCCTAAAACTTTATCTTTTTGTTTCCTATTAATATTACTGTTCTGCCTGTTCAAATTGAGTCAAAAGACTATTGGTCTTTTAGGAATCACTGTGTTGTAGTATTAAAAATGTTTGTTTTCTGTAAAAAAATAATATCTAGTTTATATGATTTTAACAAGATTAATGTTCTAAGTTATTTGTTCAGATTATTTAGTCCTTTAATATTTAAAGTAACAATTTTGATTGTTGTATTGTTCATAAAGAATTAATGATTTTTAGAGCTTCTTCAGGCTCTTTGTTTTGGTTCATTATTTTAATTCTCGTTGTTGGCCATGCTGTAAGGTTTTGCATTTTTGTGTTTTCTTCTTTTCCTTACTACTAGTATAAAGGTTGCATTTTCGGAACTTTTTTGATTAATCATATGATCATTTTTCTGGTTGTGTCAAGATTTTCTAAAACTGAGTTGATGAAGCAAACATCCATGATTGGTTCATTATTTGCAAGTAATTCTGTTTTGGCATTCATTTTATTTGCAACAAGGTTTTCTTCTGATTTTGTTGTTTGTTCTTGATTAAGTGATGTCTTAGTATTAATATATTTTATAGTTTTTTGAACTGTGAGATTTTTCTTGTCAGTATCTATTTAAATCTCTGTAGCAATTTTGTTTGGTGTTTCATTTAGGTTTTTCTTTTTGTTTTTAAGTTCTTAAAAATGTTGTCTTAACTTCTTTGTCTCTTGAAATTGTAAACAATTTTTTTTGATATGACCTGTTTGGTTGCAAAAGTAGCACACTTTTGATGTCTTTTTCTATTTAGTAATAACTTTATTATCTTCAATATATATGAAGTGAGGGATTCTTTGTCTAGCTCTGAGTCTTCTGTATTGTCAAAAATAACAATCTATTGGTCTGTCATATATAAAGTACCTTGATAAGTAATAGTTTAATTGAGATAATTTTTCTGAAATTTTTGAATGCTTCTTTAACCAATATTGAGACTTGTTCTTTGGTGCCTAAAAAAATATTTCTCACTTTGACTGGAAGAAATGACTTGCATGCATCTATAAGAATATATCCATGGTAAGTTTCATTAAAGATCTTGACTCTTTTGATTGCATAATGTATCATTCAGTTATGATTTATGAATATGATTTCAAAATGAGATCTCATGCCTTTTCTAAAGTGTTGTTTAGTATTTATTATGTCTTTTTCTAATTCTTTATATAGAGAGGTCATAATTTCATTTAGAGAGTTATGAAAACTAGAAATATCAATAATTAGTGCATTATTATTTTTAAATCTGACTTGATTTTTAGCTAAGAAAGCAACAAAAGTAGATTTTTTTTTTTCAGTTTAGCTATCAAGTTTGTGTTTTGTTTGGTTACTAAGGCATAACTTTGAGTAACATTGTCTGCAAATTAAATTTTTATGATAGCATGTGCTTCGATTGTTATATCTAACATATGACTGTTTTTGTTATTGTTTTTATTTTAATTACCTGTTTCATTTCTATGTCTGAACATGTTTTCCAAAGCCCAAGCACTTTTTTCATTTTGAATCATGTTTTCTAATCAGTTTTCATTATTTTGAACTATTACTACTAGTACTAAATCTTTATCTTTTACTGGTTTTATGTTTTCTTGAGTTGTTGAAATAAGTTTGTTGTCTATATTGTTCATTTTTTTAGTAAAAAAGTTGTCTATATTTTCTTCTTTTTTAAGGTCAAATTTTCATACTTTGAAGATTTTTTCTGTTGATAGTAAGTTTACTCTGAGTGAAAGCTTTTTTTTTTTAGGACAAGAGCTCTGGCCTTTGTTAGTATCTTATTTGATAAGTTTTGATTTCTTTTTGTTAAGTTTATGATTATTATTTTTATTTACCTTTTCTGATCTAATATAAAA